ACTATGTAAAGTAATAGTTAGATACAAGACTGTAACTCACTTAAAAAATCATTTTAAAAAAAATCACGAGTAAGTACTTCACATATACCTCATGTATCCTAAAAAATTTATAAAAGTACTTAGAATTGTAAAATTGATCAGAACAAAATAATCAATATTTGCTAAAGAAAATGTAATCCATACAGGAATATCCATTCGTTTAAAAATTTTTCAAATATGTTTGACGGCAAATATAATATAAAACATATCAATTCGTACTATGCATACATAAATATTCTGTAGTTTTATTTTGTACAAAGTGCATTCTGGTATTCGAATTTACTTTCACCATGTACAAAAAGAGCTAGTAAAATTTGATAGCTATAATTTTTACCGAGGAATGGACAGATTTATAAAGTATTTGAATTTACTTGATTGCTACGATCCTGACCGCTTTTAATTGTTCCAGTAATTAGCGCCACTGAATAAAAAATAATAATTTTAAAATCTTACACATAATAGAATATTTTGCTTAATTGGAAATAATATCTTTATAGCATTTTTATTCTCGCTTTCTTGATAACTTCGTATACATATGAATGTAGGATTTCAGGTCCAACTTCAGATAACATAATAGATAACGAAAACAGTTCAGATAATGACATGGACGCAAACAGAGATATAACTCTAAGAAAAGCAAAACGTCAAGAAGCTCCATCTAAATCAACAAACTTATCTGACAGTTTGTATGAATGTGCAGAAGGAACAGAAGGAATTAACAAGTAATTATAATCGCTTTACGTTAACTACAATACATTTAAATGAATCTTACGAATTAAATCTGCAGTTTTCTATACAAATATTATCTACCTATAATCTATCTATATTATATGAAACATTTATTTATTATTTCGTCAATTACCTTTATAATAAGTAGTTGATCAAAATTATTTTCTCAGGGGAACACCATACGATTTGATTCCAATACGTCGCTGGATGCGTGAACATTACACAAAGTTGACAAGAAACAGAGCAAGATGCAATCATTGTAATGAAAAATTTGATATACATCTTAACCGCTTATGTACTTTACATAAGCACTTGGTAGAGGCACATCCAGACAAATTAACAGAAGGAGAGAAGAATGAAGTGAAATTCAATTGGACTTGGGACTATTATATCGCAAAAAGCGGTACAGAAGCATTATGTAAACTATGTAAAGTAATAGTTAGATACAAGAATGTAACTCAGTTAAAAAATCATTTAAAAAGAAATCACGAGTAAGTACTTCGCATATACCTCATGTATACTAAAAAATTTATAAAAGTACTTAGAATTGTAAAATTGATCAGAACAAAATAATCAATATTTGCTAAAGAAAATGTAATCCATACAAGAGTAACCATTCGTTGAAAAATTTTTTAAATATGTGTGTCGGCAAATAAAATATAAAACATATCTGTTCGTACTATAAATACATAAATATTTTGTAGTCTTATTATATACAAAGTGCATTCCGGAATTTGAATTTACTTTCACCATGTATAAAAAGAGCTAGTAATATTTGATCACTATAATTTTTACCGAGTAATGGTCAGATTTATAAAATATTTGAATCTACTTGATTGCTACGATCCTGACCACTTTTAATTGTTCCAGTAACAAGAGTCTGAATAAAAAATGATAATTTTCAAATCTTCCACATAATAGTATAATTGTGCATAACTGGAAATAATATCTTTACACCATTTTTATTCTCGCTTCTTTGATAACTTCTTCTACATATAAATGTAGGATTTCAGGTCCAACTTCAGATAATGTAATAGATAACGAAAACAATTCAGATGATGGCATGGATGCAAACAAAGATGTAGAAGGTGCAGAGGGAACAGAAGCAATTAACGAGTAATTATAATCCCTTGCGTTGACTATAATACATTTAAATGGATCTTACGAATTCAACCTGGAATTTTTATGGAAATATAATCTATCTATATTATAT